TACTGATTTTTCGTCCAGCTTCACCAATATATTCCTGCTCACAGATGCTGTATGTTATGCGATGAACTCCTGAACCATCCAATTTATCAACCTTTTCATGTTGCGTCAGAAGGCCAGTGAAGAGTGCTATGTTCTCCCTCAGGATCACCAAAATATTCTATTCTCTTAATAACTGTTAGAATTTTTTACTTATTTCACAAGAGGACAGGAAAATCCAATTTTGGTCGTCTTCCCAAATCTCGATTTTATTTACATAATTAATATTAATGATACCATCTGCTACTTATGACCCCTACATTATTTTTCATTAATTCTTTCTGGCACCCGTTACTAAGGCTTATATGTTGAAACAGAAGAATATATCAACCTTCTAGTCCATGAATACTACAGATTCTGCAGAAAAATGGACACCAAAGGATCCGAAGTAGCAGGACGTATTGCACGCACAGGACATGAAATCGACTGGAAATAGAACGAAAGACTAGCTGCATATGATTATAATGCAATAAAACGTACAATTCTAGAATAAGAAATTTACTTTACTGGAGACTAGAGGCGAGCAGAATTTGCAAAAACTTTGCCTATTGCTCAGGCAAACTCGTAGGAAATCAGCAAAAAGAAGACGACCAGATCAAGGAAATATTTTAAACTTGAGGAAAAGAAGTGGTCTAACCTCGTTTTCTCAACTTGGTTGGTATTGCCAAGACGACTTATTTCGGCGCGCCCTATACGAAGTCCTCTGCTATAATCGTTTTCATTATTAACAGCTTTGGACCGTTGACTTGGTACATTTCCAGACGCTTCGCAAATATCTTAGTCTGCATCGACAGCCAGTTTAGGCTGTCTCAACACCAAGCTACAATTGTTCAGAGTCAAGTGAAGTCAATTGCTTGACCAACTTTCTACCAAAACGGTTGTGCTATCACTTCTCTTTCTGTCCTGGCCCATCTATCTACCCCTTACCTTCTTATCTCACTCCTCAAGGGGTATGCTCTTGTTGCCGAGGTTAATGTGACGTCATCGCATCTGCTGTTTACCCTGCACCTCCCTTTCCTCCAGATTTGCTGATCCAACTCGGACCTGCTATCCGGAGCTCCCTCGTGGGACCGTAGTTTCGTTTCTTACCTTTCTGGTTGACCGATATTACTTGGTTCCAGTCCCAATGTACCTTTTACTCCAGGTCCTATTTCTCAAGCCTTCAGTAGCACGTAAAATGTCGCGCTATCTGCAAATAGCCTATGCTCTGATTTCCATGCTTGCAAATATTAGGCATTGCCATCATAGTTATCTCTCAAAAACCGTGTGTCCTGAGCATCATGTGTATGTCTATTGCCGGTCGCTTCCTGCCTCTCAAGTGGATTTCCAGTCAATTTGGCTATACCGCCGAATTCCTGTGATGGGTGTGATTATTCGTCTTCTTAGTCACATGACCTCCAGGCCCATGAGGTTGTAGTTGTTTCTTCGAGCAGACTACACTCAATAAGAGCTTCTTCGCTTGATTTCCGAAACTTCCCTATCCGCTTCTTCCTCACGATCCCTTTTCCTCTAGTTAACGATAGATCCTTGATCTATGCGTCTCCTTTTTCCTGGTCCTGCTGTATTCTTGTTTTCTCCGAGTTTGCTTAAACGATAGGCAAAGTTATCGCTAACTGCCGTCTTCTCATCTTTTTTTTATTAAATTGCTTTCCGCAAAAATCGCATTACTTACTTAATGAAGCCCTTCTTTCTATTGTCTTCCAATTGATCTCTTGTACAGTCTGTGCTATGCTAGTTCTGATCTTTCGGTATCCTTTTTCCTGCGGGTCCCTTGATATTCCCTTATTCGTATGCCAATATTTCTTCCTGTTTTGCCAATATATTTCTGTTCACAAGCACCTAATGCTATGCAGTAAATTCCCGGACAATCAAATTTGTCCATCTTCTCGTGCTGCGTTGGTAGACTTGTGAAGTGTTATTATTTTCTTCGTGGTCACCTAAATATTCCAGTTCCTTAGTATTGGTCGTAGTCTTTAAGTTTGTTCGCAGGAAGATAAGCATATCTACTTTTGTGAATCTTTCTCCGCCCTTACATTTCTTTCCTAGTCCCCGTTCTACCATCGGCTTTTCACGGCCCGCATGGTCCTTTGCATTACTTCGTTTGGGTGTCCGTTGTTGAGGATTATCCTGATCAATTTGTCCAATGTTTCACCCCAGAATTCAAAATCCGTTAAACGTAGGCTTCTGATGATCATGCTCATCATTATTCCTATAGCCTGTAATTTTGATGGGACTGTAAACTGTGTGTCACTCCGGCATATGACTTCTTTCTGAACAACCTCCTCTTGCGTGTCTCATTTCAGCGAATCACTTTAACATTCAGTAAAGGTAAACCCCTCTCTTCTGCCTCCATTTCTAACTTGATTGTTTCATCGATTTAACCTGTGCATTTCAGGAAATCCTCCTATTTTTCTCTTCCAAGCGACCAAAATGCGAAGTATTTGTCCAGGTACCTCTTGAGCACTCTGTTGCAGCGGTGATGTCTTGAAATTCTCTTATAATTTTTTCATGTATATGTTTGTCATAGAGGTGA